ATATTGGGTTGTCTCATAATTCCTGTCGCATTTCTATTCAATTTCAAATTCCTTCCGTCTAAGACCGTTTCATTGCGAAATACGTTAGTATGTTGAAGTATGCTTCAAGTGCCTTAAAGCCCTTAACGGGTTAATCAACTAGTAATAAAAATAGGTCAGTGACTGCAATCAATGATTATGCTTTACGATCCTCAAATGAACTCTGTAGCAAGGAGGACAACAGAGAAGATCAGCGCTGTGTTTGACTCAGTCTCTGCTACTGATAGGGTACTGAGCTAGTGGTCCAATCGCAACGGCAAAGACGAAACGAGCTATGAACTTCAACCTCATACTGGGCCTGCGGTCATTTTTGATGAGCGCCCCTTGCACCCTAAATTGGGAGTGCCTCCGCACGTTGCTACCAGGGTATTGTAGCAGATACCTGAGCGCAGCCGATGCACCAGCACACGCCATCAGTATGGCAAGGACTGCTGCAGAATGAAGTTTTGATGGAAACCTTATGGTCCGGCCGACCATGAGCGGGAAGCACGCCTGACCATCTGGGGAAAATCCATTCTGGGACGGCAAAAGCAGAGCCTTCCCTAATCGGTCACCAGTGGAAATGAGTCATGAGTCCACTGCGACAACAACATGCGGCACGTCTGATGGCTGCCTCGCAGCCAGGAAGCACCAGCTCAACCAAAGCCCGAACTCCGTTTTCTGAGAATATCGCTCTCGTTTTGTTGGATTCGCTAGGTGGCCTGGTTTGGGAACCACTTCAATGTATGAAGACAAGCATTGCTAAAGTCAGCGCGGAATAGCCCTCTTGGCTGGCTTCGGGGTTGCGAGGAGAATCGTCAGAAACGTCTCAGATCCTCCTTCCTCCGAATGTACACCAGACCTCACATTGCAATGCCAACTCACCACGTTCTGGGGGAGATAGCCAGGGCCACGATACCTCATCCACCATATAGCATTGGCATCGCTCTATCGGACTATCGCCTCCCCTGCGCTTTGAATAAGCATCTGCCAGAGAAGAAAGTTAACACGTTGACGACATTGTGCAGCGCATGCGCATCACACCTTGAGCACCGTGTGGGACCGTGTGCAGCGCATGCGCTGCACACACAAAATATTATTTTTTTTTCGCGCATGCGCTACTTCTTTTCTAATTTTTTGCATCTATTCTATAGACTACACCATAATATGACTAGACACGGCGAGGTTCATTGAATGGTTGAATATGCTCCTTTTTAGCGAAGGTTTTCTAAGCCCTACGAATTTCCCAATTGTGTTCATTCCTAGTTTCCTTTATATTCTGATAATCTTGGTCATAAAAAAGAGCAGTAGAAGTAAGTACAGACCCACACATATAGCAAGACATATGTTTTTAGTGGAGCAACCGCGTCAAAAATAATTTTGAGGTTCACTGCAGCAAAAGCAACTGAAACTTGCCTTTCATCGCCAGAAAACGTCAATTCGATCGATTTTTCACAGCTGTCCCTTCTGATAAGTTTGACACATCGAATATCATTCTAAACATTTTGTTGCATCCGAGTTTTGGGTATTTAAAGCTCAAAATTCACGGATTTGATGTGAGGCGGCGGCGCCTGCAAAATCGCCGTGGTCCCACGCGGCGCAAAAACCCAAAACGCGCGTTGTCGTCAACGTGTTAAAGATTGCGGTACCACCCAAAAACGACTTCTCCAAATTCTTCAACCCCCAGTTTCCTTCATTCTGGGCTGGAAGCTTCCAAACGCCCACTAGTAAATGCACGCATATCAGTGACCATGATGGTGGTTATGCTATTAGTCAGTTGTTTCCCAGAAGAGATAAAACTTGAATAAACAAAAGTGTCGAAATTGCGACAGGAATTATGAGACAACCCAATAAAAGCAACAATCAAGGAACGTTGGGTATTTCACATTTGAAGTAACACAAACACTCCAAATAATTGAAGCGAACTGCCAAAAAAAAGTTATGGATAAAAAGCCAACAGTGAAGAAACAGAAGAGGTGCTTGAAAAAATCTCACCACATTCTTTATGTAATATATATAAACAGACGAACCTGGATCAAAAAGCAATATGGCGTTCAAAGCGCAAAATTCCACATCAGTCATTTTATTGTGGTACATAGGTACGGATAACTCCAGCAAAAAATCTTTCAACGTCTGGACGAAAAGCCTGAAAAAATAAATCGACACGCTGATAGAACAAAATTGAGCTACACCTTTCAGAAACTTACTTGTTCAAGGTTTCTTTGTCTACACCTCCACCCGAAACTTTATTAGCTTCCTTTGCTATTGAATCCGGATCATTGAGATCCGAGTAGGTCCCGTCGCTGTGAAATATCCTGGAAGGTGTTTTAGGATTAGCCTAACAATGGTCATGGTGAGTTCTTGCGGAGGTAAACAGAACTAGCCTGTTAGTTTGTAGCCCTCCAACACGCATAGTGATGTAATATTTTTCCAAGATAGAGAACGAAACGGAAAAACGTTTCATGAGGGCAACCTGAAACAAGCACTAGATATTTGTGTCGATAGTTTCAGATCTCCATAACATCACACCTTGTCATCCAAATCCAAAAGTGGAAATGGAGAGATGGAATTCAGAAATTCCACTAACAACGCAATATCAACTCGCAGGCGATCACGTCTAACTCGCTCACCAAAATAACATGCAGGTCTCATCGTCTAAAATAGCGTTTCACGTTCCATTCTGATCTCAGTCAAATATCCAACGTGACTATCTCATAAGAACTGACTCACGGGCTCTGTTCCGCCGAGAATGTCGCGAATAGAACTTGGACAATAGAAGAGCCGCCTTCTCTCGAGCATCTGCTCATAAGACTTCACCATCATCTCGATCATATTCCCTGATCGGTTGCCTTCCATTAACTCTTGCTTCATGGTTATTGATGGCTTAGCTGCAAAGAAGGCGATGACTTGAATGAATACGAAATGTTCGAGGAGAAAATTGGATATTATCCACAATTGGTAGCCAGTTAAGCAATGAAATAATGCTATCGTCAGTGCACTGGTTGGGGACGAACAATTCAAGAGCGGCCTGACTCGAGCCCACGCTGTATTGCTCGTTCACCACCGAGATCCCCAAGAGATTTTTCGATCCCAATAATGTAAGATTCCCTACAGTTGTGAAGGTTTGACTAGTATTGCATATTGTATGGGCAAAGCATTCTCAAAAATAAAGAAAGTCTTAGCGGCATTATGATATGCACTTATAAAAAGAGTGCAAGCACAACCTGCAGTCGAGAACACCAGCGGTGACCTCTCCATACTATCCGGATAATGGAGCAAAGTCTGGAAAATGAACAATGGTCAAATAAAACCGCAAAGTATAAAAAGTCTAAGCAGAACAAGCTGAGTGATTCGATCACAGAAGAGCAACTACCTACACTTGTCCTCATTCCAATCAGAACTTGCCAGATGGAATGAATATGCTCGCTGCCCTACCACCCATTTGGGGGATGATAAGGCCCTAGTACCTCGATTCGACGCACCCCTGATTGAGATCTTATGGTAAGCAAAACATACAATAGTTGGTAGCAAAACTCCTACTGTTCCTTTAGTTCTGCTGAGGTGTTCCCTGTATGGTGTTCAATATCGCGCCCACTAACATGAGGCCGTATCCAAGCCTTCCCTTAGCTAGGGGAAGAAAAGAAAAGAGAAAGATAAAGAGAAAGAAGAAAACAAAAGAGAAGACTAAATTTATTAAGTGTTCTTGTTATTGTTGTGCCATACAGGTTTTTTATGATGGAATTTTTATTATGCCTGACGTTTCGACAATTTCGTCGTTCTCAAAGGCCTGAAAGCATATCGAAACGTCTTGCAATGTTGCCATCCCGCTCACAGCTAACCTTCTCCTACTGAACGTTACAATCCCCCATGCGACTACAATAGAGCAGAATTACGAACAACGGTTAACTCACGTTAATTCCACCAGGACGGGCCGCTCAGCTTCGCGAAATAATGGAGAAAGTGAGACTGACCGGTTGTGTACTGCTTGCAAAATGCGTACGTGCAGTACGTTACGTTTCTCTAATCAGAGCTCACAAAGCGGAATGTATGGCAAGAAATCATCAGTTATGGAAATGCACTCATTCCTGTTATTCATACTCGGATTACGTTGTTTTATCCAGAAGGCCTCGAGGGTTTTCCTAGCACCGATATCACTCTCGTACGCCAGTATCGTGCATTTAACGTCAAAGTCACAACCAGCATGA